ACCCAACAGAACTGAACTGTGTACACCAGGACAGGGAGATGCAGCTCTCATCACCTAAAATTATCACAATCATCTGTCTTTTTGTACTGTTCATTAGGCATACAGTAAGTCTTACCTTATCAAGTTCATCAGAAATAGCAATGCCTGAAACAAAACAGATTAAAAAAAAAGATTTAGAAACGTTCTTTCTATAAATGATTTTTACTACAGTAAGTGCAAGTAAGGTTTAATCTGAAAAGTTTACATATTGTTCTCTGCACAATGCTGTACCATACAATGCATCATACTTTGTTCCATTAGTGAAATTGCCTGGAAACAATATACTCTTAACTTTCCTCAGCTGCAGTATTATCAAAATGAGTTTTCAAAAAACTATGGAAATGAAAACAGCAGATGTGCCAGTAAAGTGACAATGAGCTTAAGTACACTTCTACCTGCTTTCTAAAATTAAACCAGCAATATTTACATATGGATGCATTATTATGCAAATCTGGCCCCGACCAGCATCATAACATCACACTGCAATTACAGGGCAACATGGACATGACTCTTCTCTCTTTCTCCATGGTTCAATGTAGAAACAATTCTATGAAAACAGATGGAATTTAGAGAGAGGAAAATCTCAAAGTAAAATTTCACAATAGAATGTAAACCAGTTTTTCTAAACTCTCTGAACAAGAACTTATTTGCTCTTGCCCCTTCTGTTGATGCCTGCCTGAGGCTTTCCTATGCTTGCTTCCATCATGTCATCTAACTCTTTTAATTATGACTATCCTGTAGCACATTAAATATTCACAGCTGGTCTCAGAATTTTTAACACATCTACATGCCTCAGTCATATCACATGGAGAGATGAAGTAATCATAGATTTAATGCTATCGTGTTGAAAATTCTGATGTATTGAAAGCTAAGCATTTCCCAGGTTCCTATGAGGTTTGATAAGAAACATTTCCAAGTTAGAACTTCAATTAAAAAAACAAAGAAAAGAATCTCCTGGCAGTGGAAATAAAGTGGAGAAGCACCTGTGCATAGGAAGAACACACACTTTAAAGTTGTTTTCTAATTCATATCATGTTATTAAGACAACTTCTTCCAAGGAATACAGGAGATGATATTGCAATATATGTAGTATCAGCTGAGCAGAGAGCTATTCTTTCTAAAATCACACTAAAGATTACAGCAGTATAAGCTTATTTCCATGACATACTTATTTCTAACTATTTGGTATACTATAACTACCTGAATTCTTTGGGTTTTTACTGTGCTTTTAATCATTAACTCTATATGGTTAATTCTTAGTTTAGATTGCTTCCTTATATTGAATTTTGTTTTAAAAACAGTGAAGTCCTAGGAGAACTGCAATTATAATTCTAAGACCTGATCAACACATACGAAATATGCCAGGAGTTAACAAAACTATTTTCAGTCATTCAGTAGTTATAAAGTAGATTGTATTGAAAAAGATCCATTTTGCCTAACCCTTCTATATCTCACAGCAATTAACCCATTTTAATAACTTCAGACTTTTATTTAGCCCAGACACTACACTAATGTCCATAAAGTATAATCAGTAGGTTGTACCAACCTGAATCATTCAACAGGACTTTAATGTGTTATGAATTTCTTCAGTCCCCAATGGGCATTTACTAGAGAGAGGATAACTGCACTCCTGGAGGTAATAAAAACATAATTCAAGGTTCTCTTTACTTCAACTTTGAAAACCTGATTTCCATCAACCAGCTCTCCATCACATTGGATGTATTTTGCATAACCGAGGTGAATCCATCTTACAACCACAAATACGATCTCTAAACAGACAAACTACTTTTTCTCAGCAATTTCCCATAATGTTAAGACAGTTCATTTTGTGTTGATATGGGTTGATTTCCTCAGACTGGAGGTTGGTCCCCTTTTCTTCTGCTTTCACAGATGCTCTGTGAATGGGTCTTTGAAACCTGGGAATGGATGCAAGAGCAACTTTTCCCTGTGCTGACCTACTTGTTAAAAACATTTATTTTCAAGTATAGCTAAAGAAACTACAAAAGATCACCTTGCCATTTCCAAGGCACCATCCCAAAAAATGCCAAATGCTTTTATTATTCAACTGCCTGTGTTGCTAACCAAAGATCAGTACCGAAAGTATCAAATAACAAATGGGAAAAACTATACGACTCAAACAAAAAGCTCTGCCAACTTCTCTTATTAAGTTACATATAAGCACATAAAATTGAAAAACATCCATATTCTAAATGAGTGCTTTTAGTAAAATGCTTTTTTATCTAAGTCTCATCAGTTCCCCAGAATTTACTCTGAATTTAGAGAAAACTAAGCTGAGTCATCAAATTGACCAGAATGCCTCAAATTTCTTCTTTATTAAATTGCAAACAGTAGCAAGACACCAAAACTAACTATTTCTTAGATAAGCATGCAGAGAGATAGCAGTTTCTGAGGACATCTTGCCAAAATAAAATTTAAGAAAAAAAAAAAGTTTGGAAAGCTTTTATCTTTGCAATCACAGAATTAAACCTGCGAACTCTTTTTATCTCTCTCTCTGATGTGGTATCAAGAGAAAAGAAAAAGGATTTTTGGGAAGGAATTTCTTAATGAGCTTGTTACAGTAATCTTGGCATGGTGATTTTTCTGAAGGCAGGATTTACCATACTGTCAGTCATACAGATCTTTATGTTACGGCTTCAGCTCCTTTAACATTAACAAAACCTCATTAGTACAACTCCATTAGCAGAGACCAGGATAAATTAGTCCATAAAAAGGTGAGTGTAAAAAAGCTTCTCCTTTGCTTCCAAGACACTACTGCACAACAAACTTAGGGTGTCCCCACTCTTACCAATTTTCTTTTGCAGTTTCCAAACTGACAAAATATCAGAGCTGAAATCGAGAGGAGGAGGGACTTGCACCCTATGTGCAGTGGACAGAAAATGTGGACAACAGTGAGGTGATTTTTCGGGTGCAGATCTCAGGTAGAATAGTATGGACTCCAGTTTTCACTAAGTAGTTCCTCAAACAATTAAACTCATTGCATATATGGCCATGACAAAAAAAAAAAAAAAAAAAAAACAAACCAAAAAACAAACCCAAACCCAGCAAAACACCTTAATCCTGAATCCTGAGAACACAACTAGAGATAGTCATAATTATCATACAGGTGTATTTAAGATTTCTGTATTCTCTTAAGCCTTAGCACACTTCTGACATTTTGGTACTCAAATAGGTTACTGACAGTTACTTTATTTTGAAGCAACACATGGATAATTTAAAAAACTTTAATTTCTACAAAGTAATTGGTAACAATGGTTGCTATTTCTGGTTCATGTAATTGCTAATATCCAGAGATCAGTGTTTTTCAAAAAGAAAACTCTCTTTTTACTTATTTTGCATATTTGACAACAAATAATTGGTTGTGCTATCTGTACCTTGCATAGTTATTTTAATTTTTTTTCTCTGTGGCTTTCATACAACATCAAAGAGGAAAAGATAAATTTTATTTATCATTCTAAATAGGAAGATGTCATTGTAAAAATCACAGAGTTCTAGAGACAAAAGGACAGCCCATTCCATGAAACTACTTTAAATTGAAACAGCTATATTTCAGGTTTAGGCAAAACACCCGTAACTGTAGCCAAAATGTCCATACACTTAAAACTATTTATCTAACGATTTAGTCACTTCCTCAAACTGTAGCCTTTTTTCATCACAACTTAATCCTAATTACCAGAAAGCTCTAATACCAGAAAAACTGACACAACTAGTTTGTTCAAGCTTGAATCCAATCGCTTTGTTAGAAAAGAAGTTACTAGGAACAACTGTTTCTGACTTCCCTCAACTTAAAGCATTTAAAGCCTGACTCTGCATGATGATGAATGTAGAGAATGGACATTTTAGGGCTGCTTCATCATTGCTCTGCCTCCAGCCACTGAGCAGAGGATTAGAAGGAAACTGTTGAAAAAGTTCTCCTCCTTTTGTTGGAGAAGGTCTGATGTCAAAGGCAAAGCCTTCAGAAATAAAGGAGTATGGCTTTACCCTTTCTCTCACAGTGGCTGTTTCTCACAGACAACATTTGCTATAGTTTTATATCATACTATTATTGACAACTATACAACAGTCCTACCATTCTTACTTTTTGCAATGAGAAAGTGCAGCATTTCGACTAACAGGGTGAGAGGTTTGCTTGCCACCATCAGCTAAGGCTCACAGACAAGGTTTACAGTGGGAATTAGTTAGGCATCTAACTGCCAATTTTATGTCTTTAAAAATCCTCCCTTTTACAAGTAATTAAGGGTGCTGAATTTTGATCAGGCATCACAAGTACCCAGCCCACTCAGCTGTCTGGTGAATTACAGAGACAGATTCAGGGCACTTGTTTCTACTTTTGAGAGTAATGACCCTCTGTGCTGTCAGGGTGCTGGAACAATAAACTAATTGGTCTGAATGTGCTTTCACAGTCCTTCAGAAATGCTCCATAGCCACTACTGCCATCTCTGATCAGCAACAAATCTGGAGCGGGGCTGTTCATGCTAGCATAGCCTCTCTCAACTGCAACGCTTTCATTCTATCAATAGCTTGTTTTTTTAAGAGAACTGGAAGAATAAGGTACTCTCTGATTTCAAGAAAGGTCTGGCGCACTAGGATTAAATGAAACTACCAGACAATGTAATAACAATGCAACTTATTAATATTTATTATATTTATTATAATTACTATTATCATGCCTACATTAAGCAGATTGCCCAAAAGCCCAAAAGCATATCTCATTGTACTAGCCATGTACCTTACAGCTTTTTTATACCTAAAACATTAAACCAGTTGTCATGCCTTTTTTCAAAATAAGCATGGATTATTAAATTGCCCATACATACACAAAACCATTCTTTACACGGTTATCTCAGATTTCTATTCCAAATTTTCTATCCCTTCAGCAATATGCAGCGGCACAAAGGTTAAGAATGAGGAGATAAAGATGATGATCATTACAGTATCTTGATGGTTGGACTTGATGATCTTAGAGGTCTTTTCCAACCTTAAAGATTCCATGATTCTATGATCTTCTTTTATGAAAAAGCCACCTCCCAAAATGTATCTGCACCATTTTAATGAAATAAAATCCCTTTTGAGTCTAGAATGAATAT